ATCACAACACCCACACTCTTTTAAAGAAGGTCTCCAAGGCTAGAAAGTTCTCTCACTCTAATTTGGGTAACATATGAATATGTTTGCAACACACTGAGGCGTGCCGTCTTCCTCATGTCCACCCATGGACTCCGTGGAAATCAGAGGGCTCCGTCTTCGGGAGATTTGCTTTCGTAGTGCTGGCTGCATCCTTAGCACTCTGTGGTTCCCCGATACAAGTGCTGGAATCTCTCGGGCTCAGTATTACTAAATGAGTAGCCAGCTGCATCATGCAGGGACCCAGCAGGAACCAGATGGCACATTCAAACAAGGACAAGTCAGGAGGATTTATAAAGGGACGATTCACAAAGGGGTGGTGAGGGGAAGGCAAACCACAAAGGATAATGCAATTACACGAGCTGGTGAGGCAGAGCTGTTACCCATGCTAGGCCCAGAGAAGACAGCCGGGGCAGTAAGTGGTTCCCAGACACCCAAGGCAGAGACTCGTGTGCAAAGAGCCGCCCTGAGACGGGTGTGAGTTTGGTTGAGAGGTGCAGCTGGTTTGAGACATATCTACAGCGAGGAGTCAGGAGAATAAATACTCTCATCTCACTTTCTTCCTCCCCTCTAATTTTCCAAACCTCCCTCTTAGCCAAATACCACTGGAAGCCAAAGGCCAAGGGAGCCCATTAAGGCCAGCCTCCTGGGGCAGGGTGGAAAAGAGTGGGAAGTGGATATGGAGGGGCAAATGGAAGTTATCTGGCACATTAAATAAATAAAAAGTGATATGACCAGTGATACAAACCAAGGATTAGAGTTTGTCCAATTGCTTGCAACTGGGGTCCTTTAAAAAAAATCGGCAGGTGCAGTGGCTCACGTCTGGAATCCCAGCACTGTGGGAGGCCGAGGTGGGCGGATCACGAGGTCAGGAGATCAAGACCATCCTGGCCAACATGGTGAAACCCCATCTTTACTAAAAATACAAAATTAGCCAGGTGTGGTGGCGCATACCTGTAATACTCAGGAGGCTGAGGCAGGAGAATCACTTGAACCCGGGAGGCAGAGGTTACAGTGAGCTGAGACTGCTCCATTGCACTCCAGCCTGGCAATAGAGCGAGACTCCGTCTCAAAAAAGAAAGAGAGAGAGAGAGAAGGCAGGAGGGAAGGAGGGAAGGAAGGAAGGAAGGAGGGAAGGAGGGAGGGAAGGAAGGAAGGAAGGAAGGAAGGAAGGA